GTTTTGTATAAATATTCTACTTATTGATGAATAATAAACAAGCCATTCTGTTCTATTTCCTCTCTAATTTGTCATGGTATCAAGAGCAGGTTAAATCTTGGGACCGCTCACAAAAATTTTCCCCCCTGCCGGTGGGTTAGAAAGTTAAACCCACCGGTGGAATTCAAAATTTTGCTTCCACTATGCAATATTAATACTCTTTAAATTTTTATTTATTTGGGTTGGTACACGTATCATATATGTGTATGTGAATTTTTTTTTGGGAGAATTATTTTTTTGGGAGTATGTGAGTGGGCTTGCTCCACTATAACACATCTTTGGAGATGAAGAAATTAAATAGCGTTATGCTTGACGCAATATTAAAAAAAAAATCGGCTCTCTTGTGTCGTGAGACAAGATATATTTGGTTCTCCTTGTGCCGTGAGACAAGGTTTGTGAGTTGATTCGAGCATGATTTTGCTCCTTTGAATATGAGTGTGGTTTACTCTAAAAGACCATTAAGAGATTTGAGTGTGGTTTACTCTGAAAGACCAATAAGAAATTTGAGTGTGGTTTACTCTGACAAACCAATATTTGATTGGAGCTCGGTTTTGCTCTGGAAAAACCAAAATTGTTATATTTGCAGGTTCGAAATGAATGACGTTTCTGTTTGATTGATGACTGATGAGTTCAAAAAAGATAAACGTTGTCATCATTGAAGAAAGAAATTTTTGAAGGCGACATCACAAGAGTGCATCTCGGTTTCAACAAAAGAAGAATTTCCAATCGCAACGTTCGTATTACTGCTGTTACGATTGCGGGAGGGAGTTAGACATATGATCTGAGATATCGGAAAATATATGTGTGATATATTTTCCGTAGATTTCATTTAAAAGAATAATATATTTAGGTTTATTTTATGTTAAGATATTATTTAGAAAATATATCATTAGGATATATGGTATATCTTATAGGAATATTGTTTCCTATATTATGTTCGTAGGTTTTGTATAAATACTCTACCTATTGATGAATAATAAACAAGCCATTCTGTTCTATTTCCTCTCTAATTTGTCAAAACCCTAGCCTTAACTTCACCTTTACCGTCGGGAAATTAGATTAATCCTTTCAACGACGGTGTTAAGGGTAGCCTTTGGCTCTTTAGTCCTTGAAACTAGCCGCAAAACACTTGACGATATGCCGAAACCCCTTGATGATATACCAAAACCCATGAACTACCGAAGAGGATCGGAGCTCCCTGTATTCTTCGCCAAACAGATCAGAAAACTAAATTTAAAATAGCAAAAAGGGAAATTAATAGGAGGACTTGGCTCGCCGGCGACGACTAGGCGAAACTCCAATCGCCGGCGAGCAGGGCTGAAGAAAGAAGGAGGGGCGGTGGAAGATAAGGATGAGGTTAGAGAGAGAATTCTTATATTATATTGGAGTTATATTAGAGTCATTTATTTCACTTTCTTAAGTGTACAATTTTGTCTAATCTATAGCTATCCCTCTTGTTCTAACTTAAGTGCACAACTTGGTTTATACGGTCACTAGTTCACTACAATTTGGCTGTTGAAGTATATATGCATGGCTTTTTAGACCTTGGTTGCTCATTATTGATGAAATGATGAGAAAATGGTTGATAAGCGTCATAAAACAATTTTAAGAATTTATTGCATTAGTTTGTTCTAGATTTATATTAACTGTTTGTACAAAAGTGATCTAATAACTTGTGGTTATATTGCGTAAAATTAATCGGTTGAAGGAGAAATGTGTCTTGCTAAATTCAATTGTATGGGATATTAGATATTCTTGTTCTCCCATTTTTCTTTCATTAATACTTAATTCATCAATATATCGTGATAGATATTATATTTATAATAATATTTGTCGCAGATTAGGATATATATATATATATATATATATATATATATATATATATATATATATATATATATGTAGTGGATCACGTGAAAACAAGATTAAAACTGAAAACTGAAAACATGCAATCTCCACCGTAGATTATGATCTATCACTCACCCCTCATCTTACGGTTCAGATTTTTCCCCCAAATTCAAGCAAAATGATAGCAATTTCTCTCTCCTCCTTCATTTTCACGTAACTTTTTCCTCCTCTATTTTCTCTCTCCTACTTTCTCTCTCTTACTTTCCCAATTCTTCTACCAATTTTATGCTACTAATTCAAATCTAGCTTCAATTACTTTGATTTTCAGCAATTTTTTAGCTCTACAATCTATTATCAAGTAAGTTATTTGTGTTAATTTCGTTATTTTGCTTGATTTGAGTACTTAATTTTGTAATTTTTGTTTCACTTTTTTCAACCTAATTTAACTCGTTTTTGCTAGATTTTGATTCATTTCATTGATTTTGAGTTTTTTTTTTGGATTGAAATTGCAGTAAATCGTTGATTAAGCAGACGAGAACTCGAATCAAAGTTGTCCGACGAATGAAACGTGACGGAGAAGTTTTTGAGGAAAGACATTGCTGATCTGCTTGCTAATGGCCTCGAGAAGAACGCTTATGGAAGAGTGAGTGTGTTTTTCCCTTATTTTTTTAGCTTAACGATTTGAATTTTGATAATTGATGAATTTTTTTAATGTTTATTTGAATTTTTCCATTGTACATATGATGAAAAATGTTGGTGCATCAGATTATTGTATTGTCTTTGTTTATATTTTTATTTTGTCGATTAATTTTGACTGAAAAGCATGTTTGCTTGAATTTTTCGAGAGTTGAATTATTCATTTCTATTGAATTTGTAATTTGACTGTCAACATTTGAGGTGTTACTTAGGTCTAAAATTAATCTTCTAATGAGTAAATTAGGTTTGAGTAAATTAGAAAATCATAGGAGTACATGTTTTTATTTTCTTAGTCATAGTAGTATATGTTTAGAACTAATGGCAGAAGCTCCATTAGAAGCTTTGCCTTATAATATGATGTTGTTCGTCTCGTCGTCATACTCGTAAATTTTCATGGCTTTGCTCAACAATTGTACTATCTCTTGGTCATTGTATATTTTAATTTGTAATAATTCTGAATGATTTTCTCACTTTTGTTAATTTTTTATTCAATTTTGATTAGATTATGTTAATATGGTGAGAACTAGAGGTGGTGCGACTTTTAAAAAAAGGAGAGGCCTTCGAAGCTCAACTGGAGTTACTTTGCAAGATATAGGAGGTATGATGAATGTTTAATTTTTGGATTATTATACCTTAATATTCAATTTTTGGTATTATATGATGTTAATGTATTGGATTATACTACATTACTGTCTGTCAACTTTTTATTTAGTGATAGTACTAAATTTCATTTAAAAAAAAGTGTTGAAAAACGTGTAATTCTTGATTCGTATATAGGGTTTGAATTGGAGCTAACTAGTAACACTTGTTAATATAATGTTTGAAAAACAAATTTTGAGCAATACTAAAAGCTAACTATGAGTGACTAGAATAGACCTATATTGGAGGCAGCTAATTTTTGAGCAATACTAACTAGTAACACATGTCAATATATCTAGTTGCTTCTGTTATGATAGTCTCCAAATACTATAGAATATAGGTTCCAATATCAATATAAAGGTTACTATATTAATAGTTTCCTATGTACATGAAAAAGGTCACTATATCAATGACAATGATTATTATTTAAATTATTAGTTTACTATATTATAATTGTTTGATAGATAAAGATGAAGATAGGTGTATATATAATTATATGCTTGTGTATTTTTGGTATGCTTATTCTTATTTATCTTATTTGTTTTGTTAATTTTATAGCATGTGTCAATCTCGATGATGAAGAGGAAGAACATATGGATGCTAATACTAACAGAGATAAAGGAAAACAAAGAGAGATTGTTAAAGATGTTGAGTTTGATAAATATGCTTGGATTAGTAAGTGGCCAGTGAGGCCAAAAAAAGGATTGAAAAAGAAAACTATCACTAAGAAAAAGAATCCTTCTATTGTTGAGAATGCAAATGAAACAATTGATGGGAATGCAAAGGATGCCCAACCTGCTATAGCGGCTTTGTCTGCTGTTATGGAAGGAAATAAGGGGAATGAGGCTTCTTCTTCACATAAGAAGAGAAAGTTGGATGAAAATGAAGGTCGTAAAGTGAAAAAAGTGAAGACAAACAAGGATAAGAACATTGTGATTCATAGGCAAGAACCTGCAATCATAGATAGTGATGTACATATGTAAGTGCATTTTTGATTTTTTTTTTTTTTTTTGAAGTTTTGTTTAAAACAAAGGTCACTATGCTGTAAAAAGAGGCAACCACATAAAAATAGTCTTTATAAACATATGAAGTTATGTTTTATTAATATCAATCATAGATAGTATATTTAAATATAATACTAGTGACATGCATTCATTTTTACTTCTTTTGTTATACCTTTTAAGCTTGGCAATTCTTTTAATAAATACTTTGGTTTCTTATTCTCTCCTCGTTTTTTTTCTTTTTTTTTATTATTCTGTTATTAGGTATTATGTAACTTTCTTAATATGATTCTTTCTATGATACTAATTGTTTTTGTTTTTGTATATCTGATCTTATTACAGAGTGCCACGAGGATTTAAAATACGTAGTAAGCCTTTTCATTTAGTAGAGATGATGAACAATTTTTCTGACCATCAAATCAAGGCTGTGAAAGAAATTGGCTTTGGAGGTTTGTTATCTTTGAAGGTGAAACGAACTGCAACTGACATTTTATCATGGTTGGTAGATTGTTTTGATCATGGTAGCTGCATGTTTACTATTGATAGTAAAAAGGATTTTGTCGTGACTGAATTTGATGTGTATGATGTTTTTTGCCTTCCTTGCAAAACATCTAAGAAAGTTGGAAGAAATTTCTCGTTGTGCCAATGTCATCAACCCTGATTATGATTTAAAGGTTAAATGGAGGTCTCATTTTGGTCTCATGGGTGAGAATGATCAGATTCCTTTAGGTTTTTTGGAATCTAAGATTCCTTTACTAATAGATGGCGGGGAAGAATTCAGACAACTTTTTGTTATGCATGCTTTTTCAAGTTTTTTAGCACCTACGTCCAATAGAACTGTGGATTTGAGGATTGTAAAATGTTTGGTTGATGTTAATCAAATAAGAACTTATGATTGGTCAAAATATGTCTTAGATAGACTTTGTGAAGCTGTGAAGAGCTACAAAGAAGGAAATATATAATGGTTTTGTGGTTGTGTTTTGATGTTAGAGATTATCTATTTTCATCGGTTGAGGTTTAGGAATGTTGTGTTAAATTCTACAATACCTTTAATTCAACATTGGACCGATGTGGATATAAGAGATAGAATTACAAAAGAAAAGTTGTCCAAGGGTTTTGGGTGTGGCATTCTTGAGTTTGATACATATCCAGTAAGTGAGAAGTTGCAATTTGAGGATGGACAAGTTGTTAATAATCAATTCAAGGAAGCTCCTATGAATCAAACTTCTGGAAAATAATTTGTTGTTAATGAAGGTGTTCGTAGCAAGGGTGTTATTCAGTTTGAGCTACCTGCTAGTTCAATGTCTAATGAGGAAATCCATTCAATCGCAATTGATGTAAGTATTTTGCCCTTTAATTCTTTCTATTTTTTTTTTTTGCAAATAACTTTACTAAATCTAAGTGCTACTTTTTTTTTTAATGGGAAGTTTATGAAAAGTTTTTGCTCATGAAAAGAGATTTAGAAGCGGTGTCCAACTTTTACATGGAACAATTGAAAGTCTTATTTCAGAAATGTAAACCTCATGATTCTCCCACTTCGATACTTCTAATGTCCCAAAGCGATTTATTCTTTATGTATCCTCGTGTTCATGAGATTGTTGATGAGATTGTATCTCTTGTAACTTAGGTAAGGAAAGTGCCTAATGGTTGGGATGATGTTGGTATTGATATTGATGATAATGGTGCACCTGCAAAAGAGATTAATGTTGTAGTTGGTGAAGTTCCAAGGATAGGTTTTGAGCATGTTTTGAGTAATGGAAAATCTAAATGTTTCATTGCTATGGATGTTAGTCTCATTGGTAATAAAGTTGCATATGTATCTCAATACATGAAGTCTAGTAACAAGGATATGAAGATTTTGGATGCAATCGTCCAGAAACTTGTTGACTACTGCATTAGTGATTACCATGTTTTTGATCTCAAGTAAGTCATGTCATGGTTCATTGTGTTATTTATTTTTCAAATTTTGATAATAAGTGACTAGTGCCAATATACATGTGTATTTTTATTTCCTTGTACAGTGAGGTGTTGGTATCTTTTGGAAAACCATTTGAGATTACAAGGAATGAATTCCTTTCATTAGGTGAACCGACTATTGCTATATCTTGTGGGATTATTGATTGTTGGGCTTTGTTGCTTAATGAAAACCAGAAGAGTAGTGCACATGGACCTCAAAAACTATATTTTGGTGCTTCTCAAAGTGTAAGTATCTTCCGGCTATTCAGTTACTATATCATTTTAAAGGTAGTTGTTCATTATAAAAGATACATAATTAATTTCACTAAGTAATAAACGGTCGCTATGTAATTCAAGTAATCACATGTAAAAATAATAACTCTACCTTTTATTTTTAATGTTTACTAATGTTTGATTGATATTTTTTTAGGCTTTTTTATTGGAAGTTGCGAACAAAGATAATAACACACAAGACATTGACAAGCTATTTGACATTTGGTCAAGATGGATGTTCATTCCTTGCAATGATTTTGATCTTGCAAATGTCGAGTTGGTAATACATTGCAAATGTTGACAATCATTTTTCAACTAAGAATTTTTATATTAAGTTTTCCAAGCTTAATAGTTGTTTATTGCAGATTTTTGTTCCTATACTCTTGAGTGAGCACTTCTTCCTAATTGTTGTGAATTTGAAGGAAGAAAAGCTTCAGTTCATTGATAATATGAGTTATGATACTAAGTACATGAGCGAGGTTGAGAAGTTCTCTGATGTTCTGGTAAAAATATGATGTTTTGGATTTTGTTTGTATTTTTCTATTTAAGATATGTCGTATGGAATCTAAAGTATTATTATATTTTTCCTAGAGTGATATGTTGAGTACTTTTCTTGATCAACGCATTCCTCAAAGTAATGACTCGATGAAGAACATGGTTGAGTACACTTTGGAGTCACCTTCTCTAAATTGGAAGTCCGGAAAACAGACTAATGATTGCGGCATTTATACTATGGTCAGCATGCTTCACTTTGATGGAGCTGATGTGTTCAACTGCGATGTTTTGAGAACGGTTATTATTCTCTCTTTTTTTTTGGCTTTCAATTTTTATTATATTAACTATTTCCTCCATGAAATTTAACTAGTTTTTTATTCTAATTTTAGGTTGCAATTAGACGGGTATTGAGAGCTCAGATTGTTGATACTCTGGTATTGTCTGATATGAACATTGTCAGAGATGAAGTTCTTAAAAAGCTATATGAATTCAGATTAATAAGGAGTCAAGTTGCAAGAGATGTTGTTAATGGGAGGTAGAAGAAAACAAAGCAAGGTAAAAAGTTAAAGAATGTGTAGGCAGACTAACAAATACATGGATGAAGTTTTTTGCACAAAAGTAGGAAATCTAATGTAATGATCTAGTTTGCATCAACTACTAGAAACAAATTTGTATAAGTACTAATGTAGAACAATACGATATGATTCCAGTTCATACAAAGGTTTTGAATTGGTGGTATTGGTAGTTTATTTTTGGTTATGTAATCCTTAATTGACATTCAAGAAGTTTAGTGAAATATATATTAGTTATAAACTTGGTGCCTATCTTATAAAAAAAAAAAGGTATCTATGTTATTTAAAAGGTTTCTATATTATAAGGTCACTATTTAATTAAAAAGGTATCTATGTCATTTAAAAAGTTTCTATATTATAAGGTCACTATGTCTTTAAAAAGGTATCTATGATATTTGAAAGATTTACATATTTGTTTAAAAAGGAAAAAAGATTAATATGACTTTATATGAGTTAAAATGTTATGGAAACCATATCATTATAACGATAACTATGTCATTATGTAATGTTTAAAAAACAAAGGTCTCTATGTGATGAAAAGGGTTACTATATCAATTTGTACTTTAACTTGACCATAATTTTTTTATTTGGTAACTATGTAAGCAAAATGGTATCAATATATTCATTATCCTATTTTGGGTTCATTTAACTAATTGCCAATTTCTATGCGATTCGAAAGGGTCACTCTAAGATGCAAGAGGGTTGCTATTTGAATAAAAAGGTCACTATATAATTAAAGAGGGTTATTATTTGATTAAAAAAGATTTTTACAATAATCTTTCTCTATAGGATTACTATTTGATTAAAAAGGTCACTATATAATTAAAGAGGGTTACAATTAAAAAGATTTCTACAATAATATGTCTCTATTTAAATAAAAAGGTCCTTATGAGTGTCGTAATTATATTAATATATTCTTAAGCTATTCAATTAGTAAATCAATTAAAAGAACGAGCCTCTCCTTTCCTAACTTTTTATTGGCTTAATCTATGTGGGTTGGGGGAACTGAAAGCGGCTTTAGAAGAATTGTGAAAATGTGATTTTTTTCTTTTTTTTTTTTAACAATTCCTATGTCATAATAAAAGTCATTATATCACTAAAAAGGTCTCTACGGAACAAGGTCATAATGCGATGAAAGGAAGTTACTATGAAATTAAAAATAGATGCTATAATATAATACAAGTTATTATGCCAATATGCCACTACATCAAAATAAAAATATGAAGGTCCTCCTATCAATAAAATTTTAATAATAAAAGGTCCTCCTTATCAATAAAATTTTAACAATAAAAAAGTCCCTGTTTAATATATGTGTAACAATAATAGTCACTGTATCAATAAAAAGGGCACTATAGCAATATAAAGTGTATTATCATGTGTCACTATGTTCTTTCTCTCCTCCCATCTCCTCCATTTCAGTACTAGGTCATCATGTTTCTACTCTTCTTTGAAATCCTGAAATAATGTACATGAACATATATAAATTGAAAATCTAGTAGGAAGTAAACATAGTACAAAATTTATTTATTTATATATTTTTTTAAAAAATACCTCATTCAATTTGGATTTTTTTTTGCGGACAATTCCGACTATCATGGTTTGTTCTCTGACCACAAGTTCTACAAAGTCTATCTTTCTTTTGGCTTTCCTCAATAGCAATCTCTTTGTCTGATTTTTTCCTTTTTCCACTACCGCTACCTTTGTTGGAAGACTTGTTTGGAGGAAGAATATCAACAACAATGTCATTAGATCCAACAAATAATTCGATGTGCTTATTTTTTGCTTCACGTTTATCAACTGGACCTTCAGATTCCAAGTCTTTCATCTCAATTTCAAAAGATATTAGCTTAGACAACAATGATTCAAGACATTCAACTTTCTCCTCACAAAGACTTACACATGAAAAAAACCTGTACCATAAATCACCAACTAGCTTTTGCTTCTTATCCTTCTGTGCCCCATCAAGCAAGTTGTTGTTTAAGCCAAATATTGGTTTCTTCATAGCTTCTTTAGTCCAACGATGCAAAACATATTGCCTTGGAATTTCAAATAAGAACTTTCCTTTCATGACAAAGAGAATGTGACGACATAATATTCCAACAGATTCAAACATTCTACAGGAGCAAGAAGCATCATTAGAACACAAAACATATGTGAAATGATAGCTCTTTTTCCTAGTGTTGTCAACAATTCTATATTGCTCAATCCCTTCTTCTTCTTTGATGGTAACACTACCTATACCACAATTGTACAAAGCATGCTTGAATTCCTTTTGGAATATGTAAAATAAATTATGAGTGTAAACTAGTGCAGCATGCTTTTCCAAGTGCAGGGGGGTGACAAGTTGGGGATGTGTAGTTTTCGAAGTAGCATTCAACTTGTCTTGTGTGTGCCTTTGAGCATCAATTGCGGATTCATAGCGAAACCACAACTCAATCAATAACAAATGCTGATTGGTGAAGTTAGTGAAAAAGCTATTTTCACTCTCACATCTTTATGTTGACTTTAAAATCCCACCCATAAAAAGGTCACGAAAGTAGGAAGGAATCCACATATTCCTTATATTAAACATATTCTTAAACCAATCATCATTCACTAAATAAAATTAAGACATCACAGAGTGCCAACCAATTTCAAATTCTTCTGGTTCAAGGTCTCTATTCCACACAACAGAGTTTAGTTTATGAAGAAAGTCAGTTTCTAAGCATAATTTGGGCCCAACCTTTTGTGGCATTTTTTTCATAATGTGCCACATACAAAACCTATGTTTTGCCTTATCAAGAACATTTTTTAATTGCCACTTTCATCGCCGGGTTTTGATCTGTCATGATACAGGCAGGCTGACAGTTATTCATTGCTTTTAAGAAAGTTTCAAATAACCATTCAAAGGATTCAATATCCTCCTTTTCAAGCAAGCCTATCCCAAAAGTCACACACTTACCATGGTTATCAACACCCGTAAATGGGGCAAAAACCATAGAGTATTTGTTGGTGTCAAATGTTGTATCAAATGTAATCATATCACAGAACAACGAATATTTTTTTCTACTAATTGCATCTGCCCAAAATACTCTTGTCAAGCGTTGATGTTCATCCATACAATGGTCAAAGAAAAAGACACATTCACTGTTTTCAGCTTTTTCTTTCAAATTGTTTATAAACATCGAAGCATCTTTCTCTTGTATGTAAGCTTTCAAATCTCAATTAAAGTTCTTGAAATCATTCAATGTTGCACCTATAGTATCATAGCTACCAAGATGTTCCATCATCAACTTATAAGACTTGTTTGGACCAATGTTCAATTTAGAGTTGTCAAAAATAAAATTTTTTTGGCCAAGATTAAGGTTTCCAACATTTGCCAAAAAATTCATTGTGTTGGGAGAAGCAAGATTGTGGCTATGAGATTCATGAAAGGCATAAACCATCCATTTTCCATCTGAACGTTCCCTAATCCCAATCATTGCATTACATCCAACACGATTTATGGTTCTTTTTCTAGCTTTAGGCTTTCCCTTTTTCTTAGCAACTCTACCTTTTGTTTCACCATCCTTCGTAAACCCTTGTTTATTACAATATAAATATTTCAAGTATACTTCATCAGTAGCCTGAGTTCTCTTTTCAGTACCTAGTCTTACCACAAACCCACAAAATCTAGCATATTGCTTATAAAACTCAACACCTTTAAGTAAGGAATCAAAAGGCATACCAATTGTAGGCTTTAGTTCAGGGGGACAACATTTTATGAACTCTTTTGTTCCTCCAGGAGTGTAACACACACTTGGGCCCTTTAGTGACGGCAAGTTTTCAGCAACATTGGTAGTTGTAGATGTATTTGAGCAACTACCTTCTTCTGATTCCTTTTCCATTATCTGCATATAATATCAAATATTATGGTTAAAAATGGGTACTGTAATAAAATAATTATGATCCATTTCATGGTGCAACTAACTGAGCACAAACAAAACAATCTACAATATATGGTTATGGTATCATAAAAAAGGGTAACTATATAGTATTGAGCAAGGTGATAGTCATTCAAGCAAATACACAAACACCTTAAGTGCAACAATTTCTCCTAGTAATTAATGTCATATATCCAAGTTAAAAAACTTCAATACATGAAAAAAAATATTTATATTGCAAATTATATTGGTTGAATTGTTACAAAAAAAAAAAAAAAAAAAGAGCATGTTAGAAACTAAAGAAAGTTTTCCTCCCAAAAAAAAAGAAACTAAAAACAGAGCAAATAAAGTCATTCAAGCAAAATCACAAACACCTTATGTGCAACAATAGAAACCTTCACAGATAAAATGATTGAAACTTGTAACCAGAAAAATCAAGGAAATAATATCAAAATAGAATATTTATATGAAAAAAAGAACATGACACAAACTTAAATTCATGAAAAACGAAAAAAATCAAACATGATACAGTGATAGTGATTTTTTCAATTGATATAGAATTGAAAAGAAACGAACTGGATGAAAAAAAATACCTCAAAATCCATTCGTCAATGTGATTTAACGGTTCGTGAATTGAAAATTTTTCGTGGAAATTTTGATAATTAATCAATTAATTTTTCACAAAAATAAATTGGAGGAAAAGGTCATGTTAGCTGCTCAAGAGAATAAGCTTAGGTAAATCCCTTTGAAATTTCTTGGTTGTGTTTCAACCGTCAGATTATTTCATTAATCATCAACGATTGAGATTTGTTGTTTTCAGTTTTCAGCTTAGGCCCTGTTTTCAGCGGAACCCCCCCGTATATATATATTGATGATCAATCGCACACACTTCAATTTGAGTAGTTTTCTCAAAATCTAACATGGTATCATAACTTTAGATTTTATGTATATTTTGTATCTTTATCGTACTAGGTTTCCTACTCTATATATATTGATTAATGTTATACACTCCAATTTGAGGGGTTTTCCCAATATCTAACATATCTAATATTTAAAATGAGTTAGCTAGGTGAAATCATAACAACTCAATTCTTAAAGGGTTAATACAAGTTAATCTTCATGATTGACAAAATGTGTTAATCATAAGGGTAAAATTGACATTTTCATGAATTATTTGGGATAATTTTGTAAATTCACTAGGATGTCCGTTAGTTTTAACATTTTCCTTCGTCTTTCCTACTGCTTTCTCCTCTCTCCCCTCACTCCCCTAACTCAATAATGGAGCTTCAACAATAAAGTTTTCATCCTCACTTCTTCACCACGACAACCATTATCACAATCACTGTCATTTGTTATCTCTTCCCCTTTGCCACTGACATCACTTCTTTTATCATTTTCGGAAATCAAGCTCAATTGAGGGAGCTTCAATGGAAGACATGGTCACCCCTACCCTTTGGAGTTGACCATGCCCTTAATTTTACCTTTCATTCATAAGTTTTCATTTAAGTCCGGGGAAGGTGGGTAGACATCGGGGAATATCATGTTGGTGTCAAGGAAGCTTCATTGGTGTTGGTGTCGGGGAAGCTTTTCAATAGTGAGAGTTTTAATGGTGGTGTCGGTGGAGTAATGGCAAAGCATCTGTTAAATTAGTGTTATCTTCGCTCATGAGGTGGCATCAATTATTGTTCTCTATTATTACAATAGTGCCATTAGATTGACAAATTTCGTCAATCATACAGATTAAATGGGAATGGCTCATGATTAAACCAATTTATATGTAATTGACGATGACTTACCATAAAACTGTTAGGAAGATTAATTTGGTTTTAAGAAAAGTGTGCAACCGCTTATTAATATATATATGTATATATGTTTGTACATATACAAAAATTGTTGAATACCAAGCAAGGTTTGATGTAATTGGTGAGGAATTCACCTTGTAATTTTGAGGTTATAAGGTTAAATCCTCCTAATTGTGGTACTTGGGGATGAATCACTTACCCTTCCCCCCTTAATTCCTTCTCATGTACTAAGGATATGTTCTCTTCAACTTTAATTTCATTTCATTTCAGTTCAGTTTATTTTCTAATTTTCTTCTCTCATAAATAATTTAGTTCAATTCAGTAAATCAAAACAGGTCCTAATCCTGCAGATACTGATTTAAAAAACCAGGTTGAGGTATGATAAGAGTGGTAAAATTGGTTGTTGCAAAATATTTGCCGAGTGACCTTAAGATCCCAATTCACATAATGGCGAAGGTATATATAAAGGTCTCCTCTGTTATCAGTTACTCCAACCGGTCCCTCATACTTTGATAAAGAGCGTGGATATACTCATACAGTCATACTTATTCATTGTTGCTAATTAATGATTTTCTTCCTCCATTTTTTGGGGCATAAGATATCTGATTTCATCCCCTGCTTCACGCTGATTTTTCAACCTTTGTGCACAGTGCAATGCACTCATTGTTGCTTGTTAAAGAGCCTTCTCAAATAGTAGTAACATTAGCATATTATACAAGAACATTTGTCAAAGTGTCAATGGCAAATCACATTAAATATTGAATCTCGTTTATATTATTATCCTCTTAAATTATATCTATACAACAATCTGGAGTCTTGAACAATCACAAAAGGTGTCAAATGAACTATACTTTTGTCCATTTTGTGTTGGATTAACATATTATACATGTCCGGCCATAAAATATCATCTCAATCTTTATAAATCTAGGCCGTGTTTGGGGAAAAGTTGAAAGTTGAAATTGACGTGTTCACTGATTTTAACTAACTGGTTGTATTAACTAATTTGAATAACTTATTTTATTAGTTTATTGTTTAAAGCTGATTGATGTGAAATGACCAATAAGCTAATTATGGGTAGGTATTCATATAGGATTTTTAATTAAATGGGGGTATAAGTGTTATTTCACTATAAGAATTGAATAAGCTAATTGAAAAAACTCTTAAAAGGAGCTTTTTGAAAAAGAACTTTTTGTAAAAGAGCTTATTTAGTGAAATAAGCTCTTTAAATAAGCTTTCCACCCAACACCTTGAATAAGGCCCTGTTTGGGAGAAAGCTGAAAGCTGAAACTGATTAAATTAGCTGATTTTATTAACTAATTTGACTAACTTACTTGGCCCTGTTTGGTAGTAAGCTTATTGGGGGTATATTAGCTTATTTGACTAACTTTAGCTGATTGACTAGTCAAACAAGCTAATACAAGTGTTTGGTAGTAAGCTTATTGAAAGGGCTTATTCCACTAAATAAGCTCTTTTTGAAAAAGCTCATTTTAGGAGCTTTTTCAATTAGCTTATTCATTAATTATTGTGAAATGACACTTATAACCTCATTTAATTTAAAATCCTATCTAAACTACCTACCCCACAATTAGCTTATTGGTCATTTCACATACTCAATCACCTTTAAGCTATCAGCTATTTACCAAACACTTTTATAGTTTTATATAATCAGTTAATACAATAAGTTAGTCAAATCAGTTAATAAAATCAGCTAGTCAAAATTAGCTAACTCAATCAGCTTCAGCTTTCAGCTTTCTTCCAAACAGGGCCATTGTATTAACTAATTATATAAAAGTGTTTGGTAAATAGCTGATAGCTTAAAGGTGATTGAGTATGTGAAATGACCAATAAGCTAATTGTGGGGTAGGTAGTTTAGATAGGATTTTAAAATAAATGAGGTTATAAGTGTAATTTCACAATAATTAATGAATAAGCTCCTAAAATGAGCTTTTTCAAAAAGAGCTTATTTAATGGAATAAGTTCTTTCAATAAGCTATCTCAAGAAAATGAAAAGCTAAAAGATCAGGTCGGACACAACAATCTTCTTCTTAAAGCACTTGTTGGACAATTTTCAAAGATTGTAGGTACAGTTCGTCAAGGGAATAGATCTCCAGTTCTTCTAAAGAAAACATCTGAATTCTTAGAAATGGAAAACCATCAGGTAATAACAAAGTCGCATTTCTCTTTATAACATGTGTTGTGTTTAGATGCTAGAGTCCCTATTTTTGTGGACCAAAAGTCTTATAATTGCATGGCTCATATTAATGGTTATATTATCTTGGATTACAAATCATAAGAAAATTGGTTAAGAAAATATTAAAAGTGCCACAAACATGTTAAGCACCTACTAAGAGCTTAAATCCATAACTGAATCCAGCTCTAAATTTCAGAACTAAATTCAGAGCTGAATTTCATAACTGGATTTAGAACTGAATTCAGAGTTAAATTTCATATCTAAACTTC